GTAAGAAACCGACACCGCCGCGAATCGAACAACCGAAAGGATGCTCCTTTTCACGCGATCATCTTTTTCCAACATCGAATGCGCCTTCTCTTCTTTTTTTTTTCTTTGTACGACGTGAAGCTTGACGATGGTGGTGCTATGCAAAAATCGAAGCCACGCTCAGAGGGTATTAAATTCGACGCGATTGATATTAATGGACGAAATGGAACGAGAAGGGCCGGGTGCATTTTTTCATCTTTTGATATATCCCTTGATTGAAATTTTTCTGAAAGATTTTAATTAAATTTTAATTCCGTGGAGGCGGGACGAGAGCGAGGGGCAGAGAGGCAGACAGGACACGTTTCTATTTGCCATACATTTCTGTCGAACGTATCCTATTTAATCTCGTTTGCTGCACTTTTATCAAGACAGAGTATGCGAACTGAATCGATACTGGACTACGTTATCAGCACAAATAACCGGACGCCCGCCAGTGAGAAATTAATCGAAATTCCACGATGCGTTTAACGTGACACCGAATCATGAGATTCCTGTTTGCGCGTATGAATTGCCAAATTTCATTTGCCCTCGGATCGTGTGACTGTATTCCCTTTCGAGGAACCGGAGTCTAATTTGCGACATTTGAAACCGGCAACCAAATTTCCAAACTGCCATTACGTTGCAAACGGGATCGTTGGTCGATCAATTTTCTTCGAAATAATTAATTTGCCGCTCGTTACTCCTCTCTTTCGTAAAAATTTTCCCAGATCGGCGGACCGGTAAATCTCTCTCTTATTATTAAAACGCTATTCCCTCCGCCCTTGTTATTTCGATAAGGTCTAATCAACTCTTGGGGAGTTCAAACAAGTTTCGAAATTATCGTCGCTGCCGCCGTAGATAAACCAACATGTTGTTTTCGACAACAACGTTTGTTCACGTCATTAGCGGTGCGTGACGCCCAGACTTATTAATTTCTCTGGCGAAAATGTTATTTAATTAAACGCCGCTGTTAATGGCGTGTACACGAAATATATCCAACCTTGGGGGGGAAATTAGCACGTTATCGGTTGGTAAAATCTCAGCTGTAAGGGTGCTACGGGAACTACCCTTACACACCGTTATCTACTGCGTCCTTATCGCGATACGAGTGCCCAGTTATGCACTGTCGACGCCCGTGCGAACATAGCGGCAGTTTAAAACGATCGTAAACGACGATATAGAAGACGCCCGTGTCGTATGGGTAATAACCGTTGTTAAGGAACATTGATTGTCGAACGATCTTTTCACGACACGACGTTTCCTTCTTTCTACGCGTCCTATCGTGAAAATTGCCGCGCGAATCCCCCGTCCTCCCAGGATCGAGGATTCCAACGAATTCGTATTCACGACACGTTCGACGAGAGTGTCACCGATTTGTTTTTTCACTTTCTGCCGAAACGAAATGTCACGCCGAGTCATCGAGCAAATAAAATTATTTATTAATAGTTAGTCGAAACAACGAAGCATTTGGTGATAATTCTTGCCGATTAAACATGCGAGATTTTATCAATCTGCGACTGAAAATGACGACGAACAATTGATAATTAACTAACCTTTGACTATGAAACGCGTGGGTCTCTGAATTTTTCTTCTAAACTATAACACATTCACTGTTTTACTAAACTTTTACTTGATAACTAACATAGAATTTATCATTTCATGTGACACAACAGCTCCAAATAGTTGAATATCCGCAACTGTTTCAATGTTCGTATTATTTAACGTTTTTATTAATACTGTTCAGTCTCGATATCGTAACACTGTTCTTGCACGTACGCTCTCCTATAATCGCGAATTGACTCGTATAAACTTATTCCTTTGTAAGTGCATACGTAAATGTTTGTTTATTCCAATTTGTGATCAGTTTTACAATTTTATTCGTTCGTTATTCTTCTAAATAATATAGCGTGCCCTGAAAATGTTTGGCCAGAAGAGAAGAAAACGAGTAAATATGATAATAAGTAGTAGCGAAGATCGCTGACGGCAGTTAAAGGATTAAAAGAATCGAGAGAGATTATATATTTGAAAATCTGATCGGAACTGAGTTTGGCTGATTCTCGATTCTCGCACTTGCGTTGATAATGAGCGCGCCGTTCCCGCCGTTTCATGCATTAATTCGTCATTTTAATACAGATGATTGACGTTTCGAGTGGAAAGTCATCGGGCACATTGAATTTTTGACGCGTTTTCACGGAAAACTGCGTTCGAATCGGCCGATACGCCTCGTGCCTGTAAACGGCACGGTCGAATGGTCCGCGGGAATCGGCACTCGCCCCTCTGCCACACGAGAGGAGGTCAACTCTTCATATTGCGAAACGAAGTGTCGCTCCGGCGACATCAAAGCGATTTCCGACGAAAAGTTTATGAGGTCGGTGCGTTGGTATTATTTGGTATTGATTAACTTCGTCGAATGTCCAGTTTGACGCTCGACGCTACGCGCGTTGAAATGGCACGCGGTTCACCCGTGTTATTAACGCGAGCTCGTTGCGAACCGGCTGGAAAAACACGTGCCAGTCAAACGTCCTTTAATTAACGCACCTTTCATTATGTATCACCTTTCTGTAAAAACACAATTAACGTGTTAAGTCGCAACATAGAAAAATTGATAGGAGAAATGTTCAAGGCAAACGATTGCTGTTCCAAATGTTCCAAACAGACTGCAAAAATCTTCTGTGACGCGAGACAGAGATTTCAAGTAGATACGATCGATATAAACTTTATTTCAGTATTTCGCGAAAAGAACTTTTTGTCACGTTTGAATCAAAAAGTTCCTTGTTCTGCTCGTATCTTCTTTCAAAATTCTACAAAAAAAAAAAGAAAAACGTGGCAGACTTGACACTGGCAAAATGGATAATAGAACGTGGCAGACTGACAAAATGACGCGAATAATCTACATACCATTGGAGAGGATCGAATATTCAGAGCGTTGTCTCTTACTACTGGCCGACTATAAGCGGCGCATTACTACTTAACGTGGAGCTGTTTACCGTAACGCAGTAAAGTGCCGCTCTCTCCGTTGTTATAAACTACATGAAATATGGATCGCGTCGCGGCGATTGCATCAGCGTGTATGGCAAGAAAGGAGCTAACCCCATTCCTGGAATATCTACGGCCCGAAGATCTTCCGGCGATACGTATTTCGTACACATCACGTCGTTAAACTTAAACGAATTCCAGCGAAACACGCCAGTCTACTCTAGTTATCCTTTGAACGACTTTCTCGCGACTGCAAAGAGAATGTTGAGCAGGTGGACACTTTTTGAGCCTACTCGAACACTATCGAGAGAAATAAATCTTCCTTTTGTTTCGACCAATAAAAGGAAGATTTATTAATAAACGCTTTATTTTGGATATTTTCGCAGAATGAATCGTGCGAACTAGATTTCTGCAACTTTACAATAAATTGTAATAAATAGCATATTAAAATAATGCAATTAATTTTTATGATGAACTTATTTTAATTAATTTTTTGAAATTCATATTTTAATATAATTAATATTCGAAGTGATCGTAACATTGTAATCATTGTAAGAAAAGTAAATGTAAATTTACCAAAAGTAAATATAAATTTTTGCAATTTAATTCTAATTGATTCGATCTAATTCGATTTTATAATAAATCGGAATACGAAACTATTTTATCGTGGACACTAATAATGCACGTGGTACGACTCAATGTAGACGATTCACTGGAGACGTACAATCAATCCGATTCGAACCGTGTACGCTCTGGCGAGTTCTTTTAACGACAAAACGAACGAAAGTGAAACACGTTAATTACAACCATGTTTTCGGCGTTGGTCGAAAAAGAAAAAAAAAAAAAAACTAGCGTAACTTCGTTATACCGACTATTTGAATCGAGAAGGGAAACTACGAGCAGCCAATCAATTACACGGTCCCTTCCGTTCGAAAACATTTTTCTTTGCAAATTCTCCGAAATTCCAGCTTTCGTTCGCCGAATCGAAAATTCAGAAAGTAGTGCGGTAGAAAAATCTCTCCGCTGAAAAAACGTTTCCAACGCGCGATTCGTTTGATCTTGGCCGATTCGAGGATTTCGAAGTCTTCGCTGCTCGAACGTCGACGCATTAGAGAAATCTGCGTCAGCCGGGCGAAGAGAAAGACAACCGCGACTCGCCTAGACGGTGAACAACTACTCGAGAGAATCAGAAATCCGGGACCAGTTCCGGATGCGATTCACCAGTCTCCAGTTGAAGAGTAAAAGCAGTCGTTGTAAAATGGTAAAAACGGCCCTTTATCAAGCTGTTCGGTTCGCGTCCGCCCGATGGAGCACGTCGTCCATCTCGACCACACCCTTCGAACCGTCGCTCGTCTCGGATTGAGAATCCGACCGGTTGGAAAGTTCACGGCGGATAAGAAGAAAGACCCTCGCCGTGGAGAGGCGGAACGATTGACCCGAGTGGTTAGCGGGGTCGGGCGATTTTTTCACGGAGGATCAACTTGTCCGCCATATTAATGACCGCGGTGCTCGGATTATTCGTCGAGGTTAGCAGGCGGTCTTCCTTCGGGCTGAAGCCAACTTTCTCGGAAAATTGATTGTGCCTCTTGGAGGATCCCTCTTCTCTACATCCCCTTCTTTCTCTATCCTTTTTTCCATTGAGAGGAAAACAGACGTAGTCAGAGAGAAAAAGTAAAAAAGGGA